CTTCAATTTGTTGGGTACGGAAGCTTAATAGGGATAAGTAGGGAAATGTAGCCTAAGAAGGTATGTTTTACAACTTAGGGAATTCGATTTTCAATCAACGAATTCGAACTTGAGTAATAGATTCTATGATTTGGGTTAGCGTATCTAGGTGAAATCAACACCCTAGCATTTTTTATCATTGTTTAATTAGTTAAGTTGTTGGGTTTTGCTTTAGTTTCATTATCATTCATTTATATTTTGTTAATTTGTATTTAGTTTGTTAATTTTCCATCAATCCAATTTATTATTTCTTCAATTAGGACTTAAACTAGAGAAATCGGTACTTAGTAACACTATCCTCGTGGGAACGATACTCTACTTATCACTTTATTACTTTGTGCGACTAGTATACTTGCTACATTTGCATGTTGTAGTAAACACGCATCACATGACATATAACATCCGGACTGATCCCGACCATGTCAACATGAATCTATGCAAAAACATCTATATTCTGTCTAAGAAAGCTCGTTAAATTAGTTGCGAGCTTAGGGCTAAGATTGCTTTCGATTCTTAACACACGAGTCGGCTCACTCTAGTTGATTAAAACCTTAGATAAAATCTCAACAGGCACATTATGGGAATACTACTCCTAAACACGAGGATCAATATTGTCTTCCATTGGACTAGGTTGTGGTTTGATCCTGTTGATCTTCATTGCTTGCTGGAGAATGCCCACAGGCTTCCCTTTCCCTTTGCATGTCATCTACACTGCTCTAACATAGCAATTGTGAGATTCACACTAAGACCCCTTGACTTCCCCACACCCTGTCGAAGTGGAAACTTTTATCTTCAGATAATATATGAAAGTGATAGCTTTAAAGTTTCGTAGTAGAGGTCGTCTTAAGATGCCATTGAAAGCGGACGGACAGTCTACTACCAAAAATTATGTCATCTTAGTCACTTCATGGGTCTCACCCAAAGTGACAGGAAGTGCAATCGTTCCCTTGGGAATGAGATGATCCCCGGTAAAGCCCTAAAGGGGAATGTAGATGGGCTTTAGGTCTGTCTTTTCTAACTACATTTCCTCGAATGCTCGCTGAAACAAGATTTTCACAACGCTCCCATTATCCACCAACATTCTATGGACTTCACACCTTCCTATTTCAGCCACGATGACAAGTGTATCCTTATAAGGGTGATGTAATCGTATCACGTCCTTCTCTAAGAAGGTAATATCCTCTTCTCTACGCACCTTGGCAGGTTGCGATGCCGTGTTTAGGACAATCACAAGCTTATGCCGAGCCTCTCGAGCATACTTCTCCTGAGCACCTTGAGAGTTTCTCGCAATATGCGGTCCCCCAAAGATAGTCCTTACCAAATAAAGACCCTTGTGACCACGACGCTTCTTTCCATCTCCCCTAATCCTTCTCCCGAGTGGGAGTTAGACCATCAACATACTCCTTGAAGTGCCTCTTTTTAAATTAGGTCTTCAATAGCCTGCTGATAATCCGTGAATTATACAGTTTTCATTAGACTTTTTATTCAGATTTCAGGTACCTTTTGGTGCATTTTGACCTGAATTGTTGTTTTATTCTTTACATTTTGTGTTTCAGGTTAAAATGGACATTTTGAGCAAATAAGGACAAAATTGGAAGTTTTTGACTCAGAAGTTAGCGGATCTCAAAAGTTAGGAGAGTTCTGAAGCAGAATAAAGCACGATGAGGCTTGTTCCAATGGGAGAGCACCGAGAATCGAAGAATCAAGCTAAGATTCAAGCAAAGTGGCAGTTCTGTAATTTCAGAACCTCTCAAGAAGCTTCGCCGCGGCGAAGTACGCCAATCACGAGCAAGATCTGTTTCTCTCTTCGTCGCGGCGAGATTTCTTCTTCGCGCGACGACAGTCGTAATTTCCAGTTTTGTAAAACATACAGTTTTACTTTGTGCATGTTTTTCTTAGAAATTTGGGGCGAGGTATAAAAGAAACACTTAACCTTTTTGCCCAGGGTCGTGCAGGAAGTAGGGTTAGCAACTTTTACATTGTTTTTTATTAAGCTTAGAGAGATTTAGCGATTGGAAGGGTGAAGATTCGATTTTGAACCAAACGATTCATCAATTGGGGAGATTTCTTGTCCTTTCTCTTACTTTTCATTATGTTGAACTTGACTATTATCGTTTTTCTTAATTGTAGTATTGATTTAGCTATGAACTAACCCATTTTGGGTTAGGGTTTTGATTGTAATTCGGATTTTAATGGGTTAAGGGATTGATTGTTTTATGTTCATATGACTATGCTTTGATTGTGTGTTGCTCTGAGTTTTAATGCTTTTTGTGATGAACATGATGAGATTGAGAAATGAAACATGTTAGGCTTCATGGGTAAACACCATTATAGTATTGGATGCTAGAGATAGATTCAAGAATTAATGAAATCACTGTAGGATTCTTATGCTTAATGAGTTTGGAATTGTTAACTTTCAATTTGTTGGGTGCGGAAAGTTAATAAGGAAGAATAGGAAACGTAGCCTGAGAAGGTATGTTTAACACCTTAGTGAGTTCGATTTACAACTAATGCATATGAATGTGAATGTAGTTTAATTTTTTGGTTTAACCCATAAAGTCCGAATGAAGTCAAAACCCTACCCTTTTTAATTGAATTGATTTTTATACGTAATTTCTTTATCTCGCATTGCATAGTTAAATTTTAGTTAGTTATTTCAGAGTTTGTTTTCTTTAATTAAAATTGCTCCCATTATCCAAAGAAGTCGATTGCTCCAACTTGAGAATAGTAGAGTACTTAGTGTTTAGCTGACAATCCTTGTGGGAACGATACTCTATTCATCATTATATTACTTGTGCGATTAGTATACTTGCTACATATTGCATGTTGTAGGAAACACGCATCAAGTTCTTGGCACCGTTGCCGGGAATAGTTGATTATTAATATTGATAGTATCTAGTGTAGTGCTAGATTGAAGCTTTTATTTCATTTTTGTAGTTAATCATAAATATTGTATACTCTTAAGCTTGGGTTCTTTTCTTTGTAGTTTTTTTTTTTTTAATTTTGTAGTTAAGCTTAATTAACTGTTTCTTATAGTGCATGTGGGGATCATGGTAGAAGTACATAGAACATTGAGGGATTATGCCATACCAATGGTGCAAGAATGCAATTATGGTATTACAAGGCCACCTGTTGCATTGAACTTTGAGATTAAGCCAACAATAATTCAGATTATCCAACAATCAATCCAATTTGGTGGAAATTCATATGAGGATCCAATTTTGCATATCGCTAGCTTTCTAGAGATATGTGACACATTCAAGGTTAATGGAATGATTGATGATACAATTAGGCTGAGATTGTTCTCATTTTCACTGACAGATAAGGCAAAAGGTTGGCTCATGTCACACCCAGTTGGGACAATCACCACATGGGACGGATTAGCTCAAAAGTTTCTTGTAAAATACTTCCCACCAGAGAAGACGACAAAAATGAGAAACGACATTATCTCTTTCATGCAAGGCAATGATGAATCACTCTATGAAGCTTGGGAGAGGTACACGGAGTTGTTAAGGAAATGTCCACATCATGGTCTACCGTTTTGGATACAAGTCCAAACATTTTACAATGGGTTGCTACCAAATATTCAAACTATGGTAGATATGGCAGCAGGTGGAGCCTTAAATAACAAGATCCCAGAAGATGCTTATGAATTGCTTGAGGTGATGGCCAACAATAACTACCAAAGACCTAATGAGAGAGCAATGCCGAAGAGAACAATGGGTCTACATGAAGTCGATGTGTTCGCCACATTATCTGCACAAATTGCATAACTTCAAAGCCAATTGGGAGGTATGAATGTAAATTCTATTCACTCACCTTTTATAACTTGTGAATTTTGTGCAGGAAACCATGGGAGTGTGGAATGCCAAGATGGAAACCAGTTAGTCTTCTCAACAACCGAGCAAGTGAATTACATGGTTAGTTCACAAAGGCTGCAAANGAGTCCGATCGGCAAAGAATAAGAAAAGAAAGAATAAGAATAAGAAAAGAAAGAACGAGAAAGAATAAGAATAAGAAAGAATGAGAAGGCTTGAACAAGCAAAGAAAAGACAAGAAAAACAAGAAAGAAAAGATAAGCTTGGGCAAGCAAGATAAGAAAGAAAAGAAATAGAAAGAAGAAAGAAAATACATTTTTATGCATTATTGCATATGCATTCCATTCATGCATATACCATGAATTTCCTCATGGTTAGAAAGAACAGAAAGAAAGGAAGTACAGAGAGAAAGAAAGAATAAAAAGAAAGGAAAGAACAGTGAGAATTAGAAACAAAGAAAGAATTAAGAAAGAAAGAAAGAAGAAGCGAATTAAGTAAGGAAAGAATCAAAGAAGGAGAAGAGTTAAGGGGTTTACTTATTGAGCATTTTTATGCTCACCCCATTGTTTTTTCCATGTTTTTTCCATGTTTTTGCAGGAAATAGGTGAGCAGCGATCGGAAGGACGTCGACAAGCGGAGAGAATTGGCATTACTGTCCACCGTTGCTAAAGTTTTTGTACTTGTTATTTTGGTATATGTAAAGTATTATATTTTATAAGTAAAGAAAAATTTGGGCCCAACTATTTTTCATATGCTAAGTAGGTATATTTTATTGTATATGTTCTAAAATATACTATTAGAAAGAAGTTATTACATGTTGTGAAATATTTGACAAATATTTTGTATATGAAACTTTGCATTGTTACAGAATCAGTATCGTATCTAATTTTTAATCTTGTGGAGCACTTCTTTGAAAAAAATATTTCTCAACTTTTCTTCTGGTTCATCTTGTTGTTGGGCTAATAAGAACTTGACACATTTTCTCGAAGTTACTCTTGATAGTGCAACATATAATTGTCCATGGGTAAATACCTTGTGTTTCATGTACAATCCCACTGTTTTAAGTGATTGGCCCTGACTTTTGTTAATAGTCATGCAAAAACTAACTACAATTGGTAATTGCCTTCTCTTCAGTCTAAAAGATCATTTCATATTTGTATTGGACATTGTTATTCTAGGAATCACAACATTATCACCAATATTTGATCCTGTACTAATTGTTGCTTGTATGCACCACTTCCCTAGATTAGTCACAATCAATCTCGTCCAATTGTAAAGACCATCTAATTGATTTAGATTTCGTAGCAACATAATTGGAATTCCAATTTTTGATTGCAATTCATGTTTTGGCATATTAGAGCACATCAAAGAGTTAAGGAACTCTGTGGGATATAGAATATCATCATCATCATTTGAAGTCTTTGCTGCTTTACAAGTGTTGTCTGAACTACAATAAGTCTTTGATTCTAATTTCAATTTTTGAATAATGTAGTCGTTCAATTTTTGTGTTGTATCATTTCTGGCTGTCAATATTGCCCTATCTCTGATATAATCAACATTGCCTATCTTAGCAGATAGATTTGAGAAAACAGCATTCACAATTCTTTCTTTTGGATTTCTGTGTTGAGAAAGTTTCAAATCTTCAAGAATTTCTATAAAGCTTTCATCTTCTGATACTCCTGTTCCTTTACTAATTTGCAGTAACCATCTGTCAAAAGTAGTTAACTCATCCAATTGTACATCGCTTGGGAAATTCTTTTTCAATCTCATATTTTCTATTAACTTCAACACCATGACATGTTCCCAATGGGGAGATGAAGATAAACATGCTTGCATCACATCATATTTTTTCCCCTTTGGTGTAACTGGTAAAATCTGTCTGAAGTCTCCACCTAGTGCAACAGTTATGCCTCCAAATACTCTATTAGCATTTGATGGATCTTTATCAGACAAAATGTTCCTCAAAGATTTGTCAAGTGCTTCAAAGCAATACCTATTTGCCATCGATGCTTCATCCCAAATTATCAAAGATGTTGTCAAAATCAGTTTTGCCGATTGCATTCTTTTTTTAATATCACATATAATCTCTTTAGTTACATCTAAAGGTATCCTAAAACGTCAATGGGTTGTTCTTCCTCCTGGCAATAGCAAGGCAACAATACCTAACATAGCAGCAGCAACAACAATTTTACCTTCAGACCGCAATTTTGCTATTATTGTTGACCATAGGAATGTTTTGCCTGTTCCACCATGCCCGCAAACAAAAAACAACGTTCCTCTTTCATTATAAACTAAATTAATAATTGAATTGTAAATGTCTCTCTATCCATTATTTAAACCACTATATAAATCATCGTGCAAGATTTTGTTACTGTCAATATCGTAATTCAACTATTCAACAATCAACTTATTCTGCGTATTTTCAAATTCAGCGTGATTTGGAATTGGCAGTCCATGAAAATCAGCCATTGTTTTCCCTCCTTTTTTAATGAAGTCTTCAATCTCAATCAATGCATGATTGTGTAACTACTCTGTACTGTATCTCATCATTCTCATTCATGTTTTTTGTTAGGAAACAACCCGGTTGCACAGTGGAAAACAAAAATTTTATACAACCGTAGATCGTTCCTTAAAGCCCAAAATCAAGGCACAAATTTTACAATTTATGTATAATATCAAGAATCTGCAGAAAATAAAATAAATCTAAAGTTTAGATTCATACCCACGTTGGAGGCTCCACCAATATTGTCTCTGAACGTGTTTGCTACCAATCCAAGTATAGGATCTAACCAAGAAGTCCACACGAAGACAACCACCAAGAACCAAGGAGGGATTTGCTAGATCCTCCTTGGCCTTAAGAAATCAAGAAGAAAAGAAATATTTGATTTTTCAATCAAAGTGGTGACAGTGGCGTGGGAGAGTGTGTATAGGCTGCTGTGTGTTTGTTTTAATTGAAAAATGAACTAATAAAATCCCTTGTTAAATTTCACACACACATTTTCTTTTATAGGCAAACTAAGTTGCCCTATTCCCACATGGAATGGGATTGGGCTCCAACCCAAACTCCCTATGTTCCAAACACTCCCAATTAGATATTTTGATTTAATTCATCATTATCTCAATTAAAATCAATTAATATTTAATTAACATTTAACAATAATGATGATTTAATTAAATATGTGTGAACACACATTTAACCGTAATTTCACTTATTTAATTTTTTCTAACAAATTAAATAAAAGGCTACGACCTCAGCAAATTTAATTGCACTGTAAAATTACCGTTCTCCTAAAAAGACGAAAACGCCCTTCTTTCTTCTTGGCTCTTAAATTATCTTCTATGTGTGTGACCCATAGGCTCCTCATCATACCGGCAGTGTATATTATCGCAATTAACACCAATTAATCGTCTTACTAATACACAGACCAAGATTGGCCCCTAGCAAGGCATCATGGCCACCCGATAGATTCGGATTCAGCAAAACAGTTACCTGTCAATGATATGGTTACCGTACAATTCGATCCTTTCATCATACGTTATCTCGACGAGACGAAGGCATAGAAATAGTGTCAACCTTCGGTTACTCTTGATATTATATATTCAGTTTCTGGACCAATGACTCGTATTATAATCTGGATAGAGCAACAACTCAATCCCACTGTGGCCATAGTTTTAGTGTCATTGCCATATACTGAATTGTGCCGTGAGATAACTTCTCCCGTACCCAGGAGTGATGAATCCTCTGTCAATCCACCATAGTCTTGATACACTCCTTGATACAGCCAGTCACCACCATACTGACAGCTCTGAATAGAACTGCGTTAGGCTAGTGTCAAACTGTACCAATCGGTGCACAAGGCGCTCCGGTGATCTCAAGTCTAAGGATCACATGCACCACCATTCGTTAGAGGATTTGTTCCATAGACACTGGGGTTACCATCCATATGGAATCCTCTGGTGGGTCAGTCCAGTGAACTTGCTGCGGTATATCCGCCTACAACAAGCACCCATGTGTTGCACCAGGTTGTCACCAAACAACCTTGACAAGTGAGATCAGTCACTGCCTTTCGACAGGGTCGTTCAACACTATGATAGCCTTACCGTATATCTGGCCTTTACTTAAGAATATACTGGGGCTACAGACGTTTCTAGATGGCCACCATATGTGTTCATAGGGTTCTCACTATCAATTTGAAACACTTGATACCCTCGTCACAGTTCTACCTTCTAAGGCAATATATCAATACATATTGCAATAATCATGATTTACCGCAATATAGGATAATTCTTTTATTATTGATTAATGAATATTATTACAAAGTCAATTCTACAATATCGATGGCTCTAGGGCATCTACTCTAACATTTTTTTCCTGAGATTATATGCGATGTCTTCAGATAGTCGATCTGCATTTGCTTGCCACAATCTGTTGGGTTTACGACTTCATTAAATAAAGAATTATTAAAAATAGTTGTCGTAACTGTGTTCTAGTAGCCCATATGATGCTTCAGCCAGCCACATTCCATTCCTTCTCTGTCATCATCCAGCAAGCCTAATGCATAACATGCATTTAAATGTAGGATATATCCTTCCATTAACAGTTCTAATATTTTCAATATGTTGCTTCTCTAACCAAATTTAACACATTCGCAATAATATTTTCATACTGCTGCCTAAAATGCAAAGTAGATTATGCCATGCATCTTCCCCCTTCCCGTTGACTCCATCTCCTTTCTTTGTCATTCCAAACCCATTGTGTTGGAAGTCAAAATAAGTCAATGATCTCACCTCTTCATATTATTGATTACATTTCATCACTCTGTTAATTTCGCCTGAGTACACATTTGCTCTCCAATATTTGACTAAATTCTTATTTGGATCGAAGACGACTGTTTGTGCATTCTCCAAGGGAGAGAAGCTTTCAACAATTGGTTTACATATCATTGATATATCTCCAGCAAGCCTCCATGGCGGAAATATTTTGTAAATGTAGTAATTGCATTTTTCAATATTATATTTTATAACGAAGAACAACAAATATATTATATTTTATTCTTCTATATACTACCTACAATCAACATAAGCTATAATTTCATCCTCCTTTGTAATATTCGTGCATCTAGAATTCCCTTCATTATTTTTTGCAACCTCCATAGAAACTTTGATTCTGTGGGTCCTTTGTTGACATACTTGAATAGATACTTGATGATCTACTGCTGGTTACAGATCTCAATGTTTATGTGACCATTGTACTTAATCGTCAGATTTCTATTATAGGGACAACAAAATATTGTCAATTTTGACACCTTTTTTTCTCATAAATGCTCTAGTAGCTCGCCTTCTATATTTTGGTACCCTTTCATCTAAAGTTGTTGCATTCACAAATTTCTTTGGAAAATGTTTTTTTACATTTCCCTTTTTCCATTCAGGTGAACTTGTATTTAAATTTCCCACATGGACTATGGATATTGTAGCTCCCAACATTTGCATAAGCAAGATGATTGTTTTCTTTATCTGGTAATTCAGCAAATACATCCTATCAATCTTCGATGCGAAGGATTCTTATATTCACCACAAGGAAAATCAATACATTTGCATGTAGGAGACCTCTTTTCTGGAATTCAAAAGTATAAATAACTAGGAAAATAATATGGATATTGTCAGTATTTGATATATTGTAAATTTCATATTATAATCATAAATGAACAAATAGTTTAAAAAGAAATAACATATTATTTATAACAGTACTTACTTGCAGATTTCACACCAAAATATTAATCATTCTTTATTCTCTTTCATCAGTTCAAGCAATTTTATCTCAACACTCTACAAACAGCAGTTACTCTTCCTTGTTTATCACATTAACCAACAACATTATTGTATATTTGTTACTCCGCCACTTTGGATTGCATGTGAATGTCAAAAAATATCAAGATATCCATAATATTCTGCAAATTGCCATAGCATCTTGATTATTCTGAATACAATATCATGGGCTGGCAGTGTGAGAGGAATGATAACAATGTACACTTGCTTATATTCTCTGCATTAACATCCCCTTTTGAAATAGCATCCATCAATCCACTATACAAATCACTTCTTCTCATTATTATTTTTTTTTTCTATCCAATAAACATTTCCTCTTCATAGCCTATATGCATCTACAATGTATTATTGCATAAGTCTTCCAGATTCATCAAAGTGTGTCCTTCATTCAATCTATATTGCCATGAAATCGAAATTGTCACATAGTTAATTAGTTTATGCCTTGTAGAAGTTTCTCCTTCCCCTGTTCCTATGGTTATGCCAACCCTATATCTTCCTCTCCATACGAAAACAAATTGGATAACTTAATGCCATAAAACTGGGATTAAGTCAGTAATTCTCTGTAAACCATTCTTGAATGATAACAATAACATCCAACATGCCAACATCACCAACAATTATTCTTAGGGGTGGGAAAAAAGATCAAAAACTGACCGATTGTAAAACTTCACCAAAATTCATGAACCGATTATTCGGTTCGGTTTTTTAACCGAAACTAGATTCTAAAACTGATTTAAAAAAAAAAAATAAGAAATAAAAACCCTAATATAAATTATACTTAACTTCCTAGAGCCCACCGCCACTGCCAATTTCCTCTTTCATCTCTTTTTTCATCATCTTTTGTCTTCTCCTCCCTTTTCTCTTTCCTCTTCCTTTTTACTCTTCTCTTCCATTCTTCTTTTCACTTTTTTTCATCTTTTTCTCTATCCTTCTCCTTGGTTTTTCTTGTTTTTCTTCGTCTTTTTCTCTATCTCTTCTCCTTCGTTTTATTTTTCTTTCCCGTCTTATCTTATCTTCTCTTCCTTTTCTTCTCTTCCATTTGTCTTCTTTTTTGTCTTTTCCCTCCATTCTTCCAGTTTATTTAAATTTTTGAAGATGTAAGAAATTTAGATGGCTTAATTTGACTCTTTGGTGAAGAATATAGTAGGTGTTGGGTATTTTATCACTTTTGGCCTTTC